TGACTTGATGTGCTGTGGCCTTATGCAGTAAGCTAATCAATGTTGCTGTACCTGGGACAATAGACGAGCGGGCTATCAACACCAAACGGGTACTCAATCCATGGGAAAGAAATGAGAATCATACACTTTGCCTTAACTCTGCAAAAGCTATTGGCTGTACAGTAGTCAATATTGGTACTCAAGACTTGATTGAAGGAAGAGTGAGTGGAACCAATTTGCTAATAAGAATGCATATTATGTATATTATTTCCCTGTCAAATTGTCATAAATCTTTCATTCTTTTCAGCCTCATTTGCTACTCGGGTTAATTTCTCAAATTATAAAGGTTAGTGCTGTTAGTCTTTATTCCCTTTTCTAACCTCTCTATAGCAGATGTAGAAGAAAAAGAAGTGGAAAGAGGAGTATTGCTCTATATGTTGATGCACATTGTTATAAGTTTAGTTTTACTGGTTGACCTTTTCTGATCCCTTAACTTCGGATTGCATTTGTTGGTGGCATTTCAGATTCAACTACTGGCTGATCTCAACCTCAGAAAGACACCCCAGCTGGTAGAACTGGTGGAAGACAACAACGTAATTAACAAGATATCCCTTCAAATCTCGATAAAATTAGAGTGTCATTTTTTTCCTTACCAAAGGTGCAAGTTGGAATTCAGCCCAATAGGTAAAACTTAATCAGGTGTCTGTATTATTTCCAGGATGTTGAGGAACTTATGGGACTAGCTCCAGAGAAGGTTTTGCTTAAATGGATGAATTTCCATCTCAAGAAAGCAGGCTACGAGAAAACTGTGACAAATTTTTCTTCGGATGTGAAGGTACGTATTTGTTTGGAACTTCATATTCTGCTTTGGGGTGGTGGCAGTGGTGATGGTGGCTAGGTATCCAAGTGAAAGAATTTCCTACATGTTTGTTGAGGACATAAATGAAATTCTTGAAGGGCTAAGAAAGTTTTTCAGCTACGTTTATGGTGAGCAAGGACAAAAATTTGCCATCATTCCTCCAAGATTGAGGGTAATTACTCTTTGGAT